CTAAGAAGGATGTAGAAATCACTTAGATGCATCAATTACCAAAACAGCCAAAAAGTCCATGGGGACTGTTATTCATAGCAGTTTATAGCTGTAACTGTATGTTGCCATAGAATGCTATCAAAGGATCCAAAATACAGAAGTATATGAATATCCTGTTGATATGATGAATTTATGGATTTTTCCACTGTAATGGAAAATCATTAACTGTGTCTTAAATATCAAAGGTACAGCACTACAGAAAAACAAGAAAGCTACTTCCAGCTCTAGGAAAATCACTGCCTGGTTTTGTGATGCTCTTAGCTAGTCAACAGTGCCTAAGGAAAGGTGTCTGCAGAGAACAGTGTGGACATCTGGCTGTATTTCTGGAACAACCAGGGAAGTAGGGCTGGAGAAAATGCTTAGGACAGTCTTGGATATGTTCAAAGTTAGCAGAGATCACTGACCTGAAGTATCATCTTGACCCATGAAGGGGCATAGATCTAATCTGGAGATTAACCCTGGTGGAAGTCACCTGGCAAACCCTTCAGCAAGGTAATTGGAGCTCAGACAGACAACTGACTTGGCTACATTTGCTTCTGAGAATGAAAACTATGTTTCAAAGAATTAATGCCATGGCAAGGTTTTGTCTAGGATTGAGTTTATAGTAGGAGCTAGGATGATACTTGTTTGGAAAGGGTAGTAGCCTATATAAATTAAGAAGAGGTGGTGACAGGAGCCAGTTAAGCATTCATAGTTCAAGCTGAGAAGAGCACTTGCTTTATCACAGTTAGTTCTAAGAGGCAAGTTAGACAGTGCAAGTGAATTCTGAGAAAAATGAGGGCAGTTATGATTTCACCTACATCCAAAAATAACCCCCCAGATTAAGCCAAACAAGTGCTTAAACCTTCAAGAATATTTTTAATTCTGGGTGAGAGAAGTTAGATACAGTTTTCAATTTATAATACCAGCAAAAAGGAGGGAAATGAAGTAACTTCTTTATATAATTACAAGTAGGTTAATTCAAGTATACCAATCACATTAGGGTTAAGTCTCAGCTAGAATTATTTTTTGAAAAAACAAACCACCCAAACCAAAAAAAACCTCCAAGGTCTGGGTCAGAACTAATTGATATAATTTGATTTACCTCAAAACAAGTTTCTGCCCAGCTATGCCCAAAGCCACATAAACCAGTCCCAGCACTACATGTCAGAGTAGTTCACACCAGCCTTGATCTCAGGCTAGCACTCTAAATTTTCTTTTACTAATACCTATTCAACTGTCTCTTTCAAAAACAATCCCACATGGCAGCTATCAAAGCCAAAGTATGGGTACTGGTATCTGAGAAATGTACAACAGTCTTCTTTCTAGCCCAGCCATCTCTGTCATCCTCTGAACAGCATGCAAGCAAACAGAAGTATTTGAATGCTTAGACATTCAGAAGTTGGGGTTAGATTTAGATTAGGGTCTGGACTGGTATATCCTGTACTAATCTGGGGACTGGTGCTTGCAAAGGGCCACCTTGATACATTCATATAAGAATTTATGTAGGTAAAATCTTTGTAGCAGCTTTAAAGAACATTGTGAATATTTTGATTAGACAGCAGAAGAGCCTGCTCATGAACTACACGAAAATGTCAAGAGCTCCAGAAGCAGAGGGCATAGAGCTCATTCTCTCCACCAGCTGCCACTGCTGTAATCCCTAAACCATATCCTCCAGTGTCAAATCCAGATGCCTCTTAAACATTTCCAGGAATGGTGACTCCACCACTTCCCTGGGCAATCTATGCCAGTGCCTGATCACCCTAACAGTGAAACAAATTTTCCTAACATCTAATCAGAATCTCCCATCTCAGTTTATGGCCATTTCCTCTAGAAGTACCTGTAGTCAACAAGGTCTATTATACTTAATCGGATCCTGAAATTAATATCACTTTGAGAGCAGCTTAAGGAGTCAAAACAAAAGTAACAAACCCAAAGCCAACCAAACGACAATGCTAAAAAACGAAAAAGAAAAAAGTCCCTAAAAAAAAGTTCCTAAAAGTTCATCTTAAAGTAAATACATTTGTCCTATCAAATATCAGACCAGATGAGCACATCTCTTTTTCTTTGAAACCAAACTGGACAAATGCTAATATAAATAATAATACAATACCCTGTCACAGTTTTGCAAATAAAGTCTTTGAGTTTGTTTTATCATTCCATTCCCACAGAGTAATCCTCCATCAATCCACAGTCACATCCAGTGCTAAGCAAAATCAAAGGCACTTACTTACACCAGTTTTGAGGTATCTCAATTTGGTTTGTGGATGTGTTTTGGAAAAAAGAAAATCTTCACAGAAAATGAGAACATTGTACTGCAAAGGTTGTCTGCATTTACAAGTGTTCACTCAGCCCTCTGAAAATGTGTGTTAATTACACAACAGATTTGAACATTTATGGAGCTTAGTGTTTCCTCACAAGTTATCTGCCAAATAAACTGTATTTTCCCAAGTGTCACTTTCAATTCACCCAACCAAAGAATGCCTAAATTGCTTCTGATGGTTTCCAATCACTTTTGCAACACAACAATACAGTGAATTATTGATGTTTGGATGAATTTTTAAATCCTTTTGGTAGTAAAATCTGTGTTCAAAATTACTCAGCTAGTTAGCACTCTTGTTAAAATTAAAAACTAATTGTAAATAATGTAACCAAGGGATATATCACTACTATACTTTTGAGAAGGATGAACAATACATAGTTAGATGCAGTCAAATGAATCAAGACAAGCAGGGGGGAAAAAAAGAGGGAAAAAAAAGGATTGTTGGAGGGTTGGAACCATTTAATCTGCTTTTGCAACTCACTTGACTGAGATTTCACATATTTATCAATGTGAAAACTCCAGCAAAATAAAAAAGGCATGAAGTTTAGCAAAATGATGGATCATGTTACTTTTTGTTTACGGGCATTGATCCTGAAGCCACTTCCATCTGACCTGGTAAACAAATCCCCTAGAAACAAATCTACAAGAAGAAAACTAGTTCTCTATAGCAGCATTCAGTAAGGAGACTGTAGAGAGAAAATGCTGCTGCTAAGACTACCACCAGTTATACAAGCACTTGTTGAAAACTTGCTTTAGAAGGCTGTGACACACTGGAAGTTGGCAAAACTTCACTTGGCTACCCTGGTAAGTTTAATCATATAATTTTTCTGCATGTCTGTAGCATATTTCTGCATGTTTTTTAACAATATATTTTCTTTACAAATATTTTGCTGCTGAGAGATTCTACTCATAAGAGCAATGTACAAGTACTCACAAAACTCGTTAGTTTTGACTTATTTAAAAAAAGCTTGCTAAACTGAAAGTCAAAAAGTGATCATACTTTTTATATAATATTTACATGAAAAGATGTCTTTAAACTTTTCTGCTTCTGCAACAGAACACTATTCACATGAATATCTGGAAACTGAGTGCCAAGTTGCAAAATTCTGCCTGGAGAAGAGGTGATTTTGAAAAAAAATAATTAAAAACTAAAGTAGGAAAGGGAATGCCTGGCCAAACAAAAATCAGTGAGATGTGATTGCACTTCACAACATAAAAATCTTGAAATATTAAAAAACAGTAACAACAAATCTCAGAGCAGTGGTATGCAACCATATCTCCATTCAGAAGGGGGAAATAGTAATAATTTTTCATTATTACCATTTTCCTATCTCTTAAATGTAATTTTTAAAGGGCATATGTGTAAACTAGCTCTTATCTATTAAAAAAGAATAAATATATGGTCATATATTTATGGCTATTCACTCCAGTTGTGAAAGAAGCCTTTCTATCCTAAAGATAAGATTTTTCTTCCTGTAAGCATCTGAACTATCATCTTCTAATGGGTAAAGAGTTTGTAAAAGGCAATACTTTGAGCCAGAAAACTTGAAGAAATAACATTTCTAATCACTTTATAAATCAGTCTGATGGGATTACATAATTAGGAAAAAAAAAAACCCAAAGATATTCAGTGTGTGATATTCAGCAGCTCAAGAAAAAAAGTCAGTGTATGTTTGAACAAATTAATAAATAAAAGTTCCCCAAATAAGCCAGCAATCGTGAACAGATTTAAGATTCCTCTAAGCAAAGAAGATAAATTAGAAGTTGAATTGATAATCTTCATTATGACTTGAAACATCAGTCCAGTTTTAGAGAGACTAGGCACCAAAATCTCTTAACACAGCTTCATGAACCACAGAACATAAAACTGTTTACTGATAAATCAACAGATAACTTACTAATAGAAATAAATCGTCATCTCCATTATTTGATGACAACATGTACATAATGTTTACTACGAAGGACCTTTCCTGAAAAAAGCTAGAGTCACTCACCTTGCTTTCCCTAAATATTAAACTGTATTTTCTTAAGAATTCAGCAATTAGTGTTTGTGCATGAACAAGGAGGAGTCCTGAGTGCTAGTGACTTCATTTTTATCCCATGTACAGCAATGTTACAATCTCACTTAATGATGGGGGAGTGGCAACTGGAAATTAGGCAGCTGCAGTACCAGATGAGCACAGTTTCTAAATATCTTGCTTTCCCTAAATATTAAACTGTATTTTCTTAAGAATTCAGCAATTAGTGTTTGTGCATGAACAAGGAGGAGTCCTGAGTGCTAGTGACTTCATTTTTATCCCATGTACAGCAATGTTACAATCTCACTTAATGATGGGGGAGTGGCAACTGGAAATTAGGCAGCTGCAGTACCAGATGAGCACAGTTTCTAAATATATAGTTGCTCTTTACCCTCTCATTAGGTCTGCTGACACTGCTTGCACACTCACAGTTAGCAGCTATTCAACCAGCTGCTGTTGAAACAGCATTTAAGCTGGATTCAATGTGCAGGTAATTGTTTCTGTACTAGTGCACATACCTACATTGCTTTGTTTAGATTTATTTTCTCATTTAAAGATTCATATGGCAAGTTTCTAAGAACCTTTTCTGGTCATGCTCCCTAGGTACACAGAGCTATAAATCTTCATGCTGCGAATTAAGAATGCAACAACAAAACTCTGATTATTCTCCAGACCTGGACAAAGAAACCTGCACCAGCATGAAACTTCTAAACAGGGCAGCTGATCTCCACAAAGAAAATGTTGCTTTGTCTGGAAAAATCAGCCCGGAAGACATCTTCAGGTCCTGTGAAACGCTGGCAGTGCCAATCTGTATGGACAACACTGTGCCTCCAGGGGACCACATGAGAAAACGAGGTTATACAGAGTCATCGCTTCTGAAGCTTCCCACAGAGGAGTGCACTGGGAGCCACCATGCATCTGTCCAGTTCGACCGTCATGCTCTGGCCAGAATTTCCACTTCTCCAACTTTAAGGCGTCTAAGGATGGCCTCTGCCTCACAAGCCCTGACATTTCAGGACTGTTCTGACATGGCTCAGCTGGGGAATCAAAAGGAATACACAGGCTCTCTCCATCACATTTGTAAGAGTCCACCTCGGTGCATTACAATTTCCTCATTGTCGTTGCCTTCTTGTGTTCATGCAAAATTATTGTCTTCCCAAGCCAAGTCTGAGACAACTATAGGAGCTTCAGAGTCTGACATCCCCAGATCAAAGCTGCCAAGCCAAGAAGATCCTCTCGGCAATGGCAGTCCCAAAAAGCCACCCAAAAACTCTTGGAGAGCCAACTCTGCTACACTGCCTAGGAGACTTCCCCGCCAAAGCCCTACACCATGGACAGATGTCCAGGTAAGATGAATAGGAGGATGCAACCTCTTTTTCAGTCTTTCATATTCAGTGTTTGTCCATCATGGCCCAGTGCAAAAATAAAACCCCAGTTCTTCACCTGAACTGGAACATGAATGATGTTCCTTTGATACAGCAGACCAACTTCTTCACTCATGAGGAAGGGAGATTTTTCTTTCCAAATCAGTGAGAGAGATCAGTTCCAGCCTTGTCTTTGCTGATCAGGTTGGCTGAGTCCACTCCTGCACATGGCCATTCTTTCCCACTTCTGTCCATTCAGTCTTGTGGGGCTATGAAAGAATAAGACTAAGTAATTTATCCAGTTCTGGATTGGGTTTTAGAACACTATCTTCTTTCAACCCACTCTTTAACCCTTCAGCAGAGTTATTCCTAAGACGAGGCTCTTCTTTATTCTGTTTTACTGGACAGATTTACTAATGCAAATGAAACCAAGGATTAAGTTGGTTGAGCCAAATTTAACATCTACTACTACCAACGGAGGAGCCCCTTTCCCTTTCTAGATTTCCACTTGCCTAGCTCTGCCACTCACTGGCCCCCCTCCTTTTTTATGTCCAGCTCCATAAATAAGCAGGCAATCCTGCAATCTTTTCTGAAAAAAACCCACCAAACAAGAAACTCTGGTCCAGTGAGTGCCAGTGTCAGTAAAGAGAAATAAGCAAGGGAGGAGCGAGCCCTCTGTCTTTTCATGGCAGAAAACTACCATACAGCTCTCCACAATGACAAAAGGGAGACATTGTATAAGCTGGGTTTGCTACTAGATCTGCTCTCAAAGACCTTATATTCGCACATGTTTGACTTTGTCCTTACACAAAGTGCCTACACACACACTTTCCTGAAGATGGATGGTGTCAAACAGGTGTATAGCTCTTTACTAACTGGTTAGTTCTGTGCTACAGACCAAAAGCTATTTCCCCCTCTCTCTCCCTTCAAATATCAAAAATATTCTGAATATCAAATGAGTTCTCCTCCTTTCCTCCACAACAGTGAAATTAATTAGCCAATGCCTAAGCCTATGTAGTAAATTTCTTTTAACAAATGAGTTCTTTTTTCAAAAAAATCAAATTGTTTGCTTGCTTTCTGACCAAATAACTAGAATATCTCACTTTCTTTCAGAAGAGCGGATTGTCCATACAAAGGTATGCATATATTTATTTTATCTGATTCTAAGCTTGACTTCTCTACATTTGTAATGAGTCCGCTTCAGTCTAAGACAAAACTGAGCAGTGAGGAATGTTTATGTAACTCAGCTTTAATTTGTAGATTTCCTTTGTGAAATGCCTGTCATGAGCTCACCAAACTTTTGAATTATATTTTCTTTCAAAGGTTGCCCTCTCCTCAACACATTTAGCTATATTTCAGCCGGATTATTGGAGAACTCTGCACTAGGAACTAGCTGCCAAAAGCTCTGGCACTTTGGTTTAGCCGTATCAAATCTCAGCTTGAAGAATGTGAAACATCTGATAATCTTGAGCGACATTCTTCAGGACTTTGTGGAAGGGAAGAAGGAGCAAAGAAGCTAGCAGAATAGCTCAATATTGTTCTAATACGTGAGCAAAGCAGATCTAGGATTTTATAAGTTAGTGCAGGCAATATAGTGTTGCATACCATAGATCTGTGCAGTGAATTGCGTCAAGGTCTTACAAGCAATACAAGAAATACAAACAAAAACAAATTAAAAAGGGGGAAATACAGGGTATTCAGGCATGAGAAGATGCTAAAATATTGCATACAAACTCAAAACCTGGAAAATTGTGTCACACAGCACTTCTGTAATTTAATTTCTCCAGAAAAAAAATGAACAAAAGCATCTAATTTATCGAGTATGTCTACAGAAATCAGGCCAGGAACCACAGATACCTGTATTTTCATCTGTGAAGCATCAGTACATAATTTAGACATGTAAGCTATTAACCAGCCCAGGCTTGTCATATTGCAAAGATATTTTGTAGATACCCATCCAAGGGACCTTGGCATAACCTCACACATCAGAGGCTTGCATACCTGTTTGAAGAGCTTATGTAGTCATACTTGTGCCTGAAGTTCAAGGCCTCCTTGATCTGGGGAAATAGCATCATTTAACTCAGTTATGATGAAACTATGCTTCCCATTATTAACCTTCATAAGCCACTAGGCTCCAGCTTCAAATATATCCTGAAATTAGTTGTAGGCTTGATACTTTAAAAATCAGTAATACACTGGCAAAATCTTACTGTAAAGTCAACCTGAAACAAATCTCTCTAATTGCCTAGTACAGTAATAAAACTTTTAAGAATTATCCTTGTATTATATTGCAGCATCTGACTTGTATAATAACCCAGCTGCCCAAGAAATTGCATCACGAGATCACTACAGGTTTCTATAGCATCTTAATACTATCATTACCAACACTGAAAATGTGCATAGGGTAGTACACAATGCACCTCTGAGGAAGGTACTCCTGAGATAAATACTTCTCTCCCTTGCACTGCTATGGGCTTGCAGACAGCCAAAAAACAGACCCCATTCATAGAATCTCTCAAACCATGTACTAAGGGTTTAATTTAATGAGAAATCTCAGCATTTCATTGTAAATCCTAAAGCTAATTAAACAGATCCTATGTTCCCTGT